GGAGTACAAGCAAAGATTCAGTGTGCTTAATGGCGAGAAATTCGAATGAAGCTAATGGGAATGGCACAGAAAGCTCAATCACTTAAACTTCAAGACTATCAATCAGCTTGCAAAGAAGAATCTAGTAGAAGGCTTGCCAGATATTATCTTTAATAAGGACCAAGTGTGTGATGCATGCCAACACGGAAAGCAAATCAAATCATCATTCAAATCAAAGACACACGAGTCAACGTCAAGACCGCTAAGCTTACTACACATGGACTTATTTGGACCGGTTGATCCAATAAGTGTAAGTGGTAAGAAATATACTCTCGTTGTTGTTGATGATTTTTCCAGGTACACTTGGACCGTGTTTCTCAAGAAGAAAAATGAAGTTGAGAAAGTTCTACCGAAGCTGTTGAAGCAACTACAAAATGAGAAAGAATTGCAAATATCAAAAATACGAACGGATCGTGGAACCGAGTTCGTGAATGGAGTAATACAAGCTTTTTGCAATTCACATGGAATTTCTCATCAATTATCTGCCGCAAGAACACCGCAACAAAACGGTGTTGCCGGAAGAAGAAACCGGACGCTCAAAGAGGCCGCACGAGTGATGATTAGTGCTGCCGGTCTCCCGAAATGCTATTGGGCGGAAGCTATCAACACTGCTTGCTACACGCAAAATCGAAGCATGATCCATAAGCAGTATAAGAAGACGCCATATGAGCTTTATAAACGGAGAAAACCAAATATTGGTTATTTTCATATTTTTGGATGCAAATGTTTTATTCATATTAATGATAAATTGCATCTAAAAGCTTTTGATGAGCGTGCAGATGAAGGAATTTTTCTAGGATATTCAGCTGCCAGCAAGGCGTTCAGAGTTTTGAATAAAAGATCAATGGTGGTTGAAGAATCCATACACGTGGTATTTGATGAAAAATCACATATCAATAATGGCGCTCTGAGCGAAGAATTCGAACAAAATGGTAACAAGTGTCATATTGATTTTTGTGATACTAATGATACGTGTATAGATGATGTTTTGCAGGGAATGGATGAGTTGGAAATTAATTCTCTAGAAAATCCCATCTCTCATCCAGAAGAAGTTGGAAATTCTTTTAATAATAATTTTGGAGGTGAAGCCGCACGTGAGAATGGAGATGCAGTACGGGTTGAAGTTGGTGATCCAATTAGTGATCAAGTTACTGGTGAAGTTGGTGATCAATTTCAAGAAGAATTAAATGATGAAATTCGAACCAACACTCCCAGTACACAACAAATGGATCCACCCAGTACCATGCACCCATTTGAACCAGATTTAAGATGGCTCAAAAATCACCCTCCAGAATTAATTATTGAGAATATTCATGAAGGCGTGAAAACGAGATCATCTACCATGGAAGCATTGTTCACGTGTTATCTATCTCAAATTGAACCAAAAGAAGTGGACGAAGCTCTAAATGATCCAGATTGGATAAATGCTATGCAAGAAGAGCTCGATCAATTCAAAAGAAATGATGTTTTGGAACTCGTTCCAAGACCGGCGAACCACAATGTTGTAGGAACCAAATGGGTCTTTCGGAACAAAGCAAACGAAGAAGGCGTGATTGTTAGGAATAAATCAAGGCTCGTTGCAAAAGGATACTCTCAAGAAGAAGGAATAGATTTTGATGAAACCTTTGCACCGGTAGCTCGACTTGAAGCAATCAAAATTTTCCTAGCCTACGCCGCACACAAAGATTTCACCGTTTATCAAATGGACGTGAAAAGTGCATTCTTGAATGGTCTACTCGAAGAAGAAGTTTATGTCGAACAACCGCCAGGTTTTGAGGTAAAAGGCGAAGGTGATAAAGTCTACAAACTTAAATAGGCATTGTATGGGTTGAAACAAACACCTAGAGCTTGTTATGATACTTTGTCAATGTTCTGGATAAGCTGTGGATTCACCAAAGGCCTTGTTGACAAAACTCTATTTAGAATTCAAGATGGTGCTCATATTTTATTGGTGCAAATATATGTTGATGATATTATTTTTGGAAGCACTAACAATTCTTTGTGTGAGAAATTTTCGAAGCTTATGCAGAATAAATTCGAAATGAGCATGATGGGTGAATTAAATTACTTCTTGGGCTTACAAGTCAAACAACTGAAAGAAAGAATATTCATTAATCAAGCAAAGTACACCCGCGACTTGATAAAGAAGTTTGGCCTTGACGGAAAATCATCGATCAAAATTCCAATGAGCACATCATTGAGGCTAGACAAAGATGAAGATGGAAAGGATGTCGATCAAACAAAATATAGAGGAATGATTGGTTCTCTTCTATATCTTACTGCAAGCAGGCCGGACATTTCTTATGCTGTGGGAGTGTGTGCAAGATTCCAAGCAAATCCAAAAGAAAGCCACCTCACCGCAACAAAGAAGATCATACGATATCTGAAAGGCACAATCAATGTTGGATTGTGGTATCCAAAAGGTACAGATTTTACTCTAACGGGTTTTTCAGATGCGGATTTTGCAGGTTGCAAAATAGACAGAAAAAGCACTTTCGGGACATGCCAGTTCTTGGGGGGAAGGCTTGTTTCTTGGTTCAGCAAAAAGCAAAATTCCATCGCAACTAGTACCGCCGAGGCCGAATACATTGTTGCAGGAAGTTGTTGTGCGCAAATTTTGTGGATGAAGCAACAATTGACGGATTACGGAGTTAATTGTGATGACGTCAGTATTTATTGTGATAATACTAGTGCAATCGCTATCACTCACAATCCGGTGCTTCACTCAAGAACCAAACATATTGACATCCGACATCACTTCATAAGGGATCACGTTGAAAAGAAGAATTTAAAGATCGAATATATCCCTATAGAAAACCAAGTTGCTGATATTCTCATGAAGCCTTTATGCGAAGCGAGATTTTCTACCTTAAGGCACGAGTTGGGAATGATCGAAATGAGCTAAGTATCACTGGACTTAATCTTTCAATTTAAATTGATACTTGTGCTCAAAATAAATTGTTTTATGTGAATAAATTGTTTTATGTGATTATATGCATATTTTTATTCAAAATTTTTATGTAATAAAATTGCAATATGTGTTAAGAATTTATTTATGTATTTGCATGTGTTATTTAACGTGAAATCATATGCCATGAAAATTAATTTGATGAAATGTACAATTTGTGGCTTATTTGATTATCTGTTTAAAATTGCATGTTTCAATGTGTTATTTAATCTGCGAATTTTTGTTCATGTTTGTATAATTTAAATAATTTGTTTGCATGAACAATTTGCTTTAAAAATTTTAACTTAGTATGTTTATTGCTTTATATATGTGTTATGTGCATATGTGGTTTATGTGATATAATTTGCTATAAAAATGTTTTAGAAATCTGAGCTAAAAATTAATATTTTTGTTAGTTTCTAAAATATTTTGGAATCTAATTTGTGTGCAAATTATGTGGAGTTGTTTCTAATTATTAATTTGGAATATGTGTGTTAATTTTGTTAGTTTCCAAAATTTGTTTGTTTTAATTGGAAATTGCCGTGTGGATGATTAATATATATTGGTATATGTGATTAATTATTTGTGGAGTAATTTATGCTACTAACGAGATGTTTGAGTATGATTGTATTTGTGGTACACGATTTTGAGAAGAAAATCAGGAGATAAAGGAGGAAAATCAGAGTTTAATTGGGTATCTAACCTCCACCCATAAACTCCTACCCTTTCTAAACCTCCACCCAACCTTAAACCTCCCCCCATAATCCTCTCCTATATCAACACCCTTCCCCAACCGATTCATTCTCTCTCAAATCGTCACTCTAATCCCTCATTAACTCTCCTAGAAACCGCTACCCATCACATCCACCGCTTTCTCGACCAATGAAGAGTCATGAAAGCATTTATCACACCTTTTGAAACCAAACGTCGGCTATATCCATAGAAAACCTTTCAACCCCTTCATCATTAGCTCACACGGTTCTAGCACCTTCCTAGGCCAATATATTTGGACCGGAAGCAAACAAGTCTGTGTGGAGATTTCTTTTGTTTGTATCTATTTTTGCAGGCTTCGATGACTCCGAAGAATCAAGAAAAGAGAAGATTTTCCAGGAGAGTGGCCGAGCAAGCAAGACAAGCGATGCTGAGAGCCCGACGCGCTGCAAATGGAGGACATGAAGTTGGAGACACACCTAGCGATCCTCTCATCCTATTCTCTGAAGAAGATGAAGGGCAACCACCGACCAAGGATCAAGTTCAAAAAGGTTCGAAAGTCTCAGCAGTGCAGCTACGACGCTCAACGCCATCACCACTGTCATCTCGACCTCAAACCCGCAGCTTTAAGCGATCTGCTCAACCTCCAATGGAACCAGGATTAGTCTACGCTTTGAAATCAAGCTCTCCATCTCCACCGCATGCTGATCTTGAGACTAATCAAGGCCCTGGTCTCTCTACCGATGAAGCCTGAATATGTGATGTGATCTGAAAATGTTATCTCTCTCTCCCTAAGAAGGAGATAAATAATGAAAAATGGTTGTTTTTGCTACTGGTTCTCTCTATCTATCTCTCTCTCCTAAAAATGAAAATTCCTCAAAATTTATAAAAAGAACAAAAGTTTCGTAGCCAAAAAGATACAAAAAAAAAAAAAAATTTATATGAATAAAAACAAAAAAGTGGAGAATAAAAGAAATAATTAAAAAAAAATTATTATGGCTACAAGAAGGGATAAAGAAGAAAAGATTAAGAGGAGAAGTGTCAGTACAAGAAGAAGTAAGAGAACAATTGTCAGAAGAAGTAAGAAGAGATATACCAGTAGAAGTTGCAACTGAGAATAGACAACAAATCACAGTTATCCAGTGTATTGCCAGTACACCATACCGAGTCTACCATGCCTATCATGGACCCTGTTCTAGAAAATGAAGATATATTTGCAGACAACTACACAAGAACAGAAGTTTTAGAAGAAGAGATTGGTGATCTCAATCAAGAAGCCGAATCACCTAAAGAAGAAGAAAGGATGCAACTTGTTGATACACCCGTGACACCTAAAAAGCTATTTGAGGTAACGTACCAAGAAACAACTCAAATTACCGAATGCAGCTGCAATAAATTCAATAGAGTAGGAATCCTGTGTAGGCATGTGTTGGCCGTTTTCAAGGACGAAGATGTACAAGAAATACCGGGGAGGTATATTGTTCCTCGCTGGACAAGAGATGCGGATGCACAACCAATGTACGATATAGTGTGGAAGGCAACAAGTAATACGCATGGGGGAAATGAAAGAAGAACCGTTGCCAACAAACTTTGGAATGAATTTTACAATTGCATGGGTTTAGCTAATGGATGGCCAGACCAAATGGAGGCAATGTTGACAACATTGCAACAGCTAAAAGCAACATTACAAAGTGCCACCCAACATTGCAACCCCAGTGCCACCCCCCAATCAGTAATAGAATCAATAGTCAATGCTACCGCACCTAGTGAAATACAAATCAAGACACCCAGTGTAGCAAAGAACAAAGGTAGTGGAAAAAGATTGAAGAGCAACAAAGAAAAAGCATGTGAGAAAAACAAGAAAAAAGTGAGGAAGTGCGCTACATGCGACAAGCCAGGGCACGACAGCAGAAATTGCGTTGAAAACAAAGAACTCCCATAGAAATAGACACGCATGCAGTTGAATAGAATGAAAGACAAATTTATTTTACCATGCATACTTATATGTGTGTGCATGACACACACCCATTATTATTACTGTTATTTTTTTATCTCTAAGAAAATTATTACTGTTATTAAAAATCTTAAAATTAGTTTTACAAATATTATTATGACTAGGTATTATTGTAAGTAGTAGTATTATTATTAATATGAATCAATAATCACATACGCCTACATGAAATTACTGGAAACCACGATTTTGGAAATTACGCAATGGTATTTAGATATGCATGCATACATATGAACAACTGTGTGCACATGGATTTTTATTTTTTCCCCAATTTCTGCAATCCCTTGGTTCTTATTCTTAGTTCGGTAGTAAATGTTTATGCCGTAATAAAATCACAGGATGAAGATAGAAACAAAATCATTACATAGGAACCCAAAGATGAAGAGAGAAACAAAAAATTTCACTACTGTGAACACTAACACGTACATACCTACCCGAATAAGAATATATATTATAGTACCCGTGCACACATAAGAACACGTACATGCACCCATCACCTGCTACATCTAGAGACAAAATTGAAAATAGTGCCACTTAGTTTGGATCACAGTACTAACCAACATACAGTGGGGCTAACTGACTAATAAAACCAAAAAATGGAAGCTATTAAAAGATCCCACAAGTCAAGGGTACACCGAGTATAGCTACCACAAAAACAAAAAAAAAAAAAAAAAAAAAAAAAAAGAAGCTTAGAAAACCAAACACATGAAGGATGCCTATGAACAACTCGGGGTAGATGCCGCAAACTGATACGCCCGAGATAGGTTCCTACCCTTGTGCAAGTTGAAATCAGAAGTTGCAATCTCCTTGATGTACTGTAACCTCAACTTCTGGAGCATTGAAGTGTCACCTTTGGAAAGCCCACATCTCCAACCCGACACACCCTGCCCAAAGTAAGTCTCCATGTGGCGCATCAGAAACACCCCACAGTCAACCTTATTCTGGCCATCACGCCACCCCATCTGCATACGCTTCGATTCTACCCGACCACACATCACAGACCTCATAGGAGACATAGTTTTAAAGAATTCGGACAGCATGTCCATCTATAACACAAACCAACAAAACAAAGGGGAAAACCCACTATAATCGGTAAAAGTGATAACATACCAAAAAATACAAAAGGAAAAACACAATAGTTGGTAAAAGTGAAAACATACCAAATCATCAGGACAGTCACCATATTTGAGATTCTTCTTAGACTGTAGGGTGGAATTATCAATGATCTCATACCGAAATTTTCGAAAATCCATGCATAGAAGGAAGTAATGATCATGTCGTAAAATGGGGAACATAAACTACAAGAAACAAAGAAATCATAACCCCATAAGTAACGGTACACCCATATGAAACACAAAACGTAAATATAACAAATCATAAAACATCAGCCACACACACAGGTTAACACGTGTGCACAAAAGAGACTAAACATGTGCACATAAATAAACTGCAGCACAAGATGATAGGAAAACAAGAGCATAACCTACATACCAAGTCAACTTTAGTAATGTCATCGTAGGGTGTCATCTCAAAGTCCAACATCAGTCTCTCCGCAAACCAAGCAATAGGTTTGTCCCGATCGTCAGAGGTATCCACAACAGTATTAAGCTGCACACACAAAGTAATTGAATTTAAAAAAGCAACAAAGCAATTACACAAAACAATAAAATGTAAAGGCGTAAAGACTAACCGTGGCGAGTGTGGATACAAAAAAAGCGGGAAGGCGCAGCTGAGTCCTTAAACCGCTCTCGTTTATTTAACAGGCAAGCCCACACATCTACAACAGCAACAGAAACCAACGACCCAGGAACCAACGACAACAAGTCTGCCCACCGCGCAGACCTACCACTAACATCAAACAATATATCCTCCCTAAAACAAATAAGTGACAAAATGCAGACAAATCAACAAACCATAACGACCTAACAAGGAGTGAAATAAAAGCCAACGAAACTCACAAGTTCCCATCAGCGGCACCCAACAACCACTTGCAAATTACAGCCTCTTCAGGAGTGTCCATGATGGGTAACACCAGAGTCGGTTCAGCTTCTCTCGCATCCACATCCAACCGCGACACCCCGCATGGAAAATCTATTGGCTGTCGAACAACTCGCGCAGAAGGTTTCAACGGGGTAGCACAAATAGGACCTTCAGACGGACAAGTAGTGGACTTTCCCACAGGTATAGGTAGCTGCAAAAACATACGCAAGAATCGATCTATGCAAATAAATCCAGTTACAAAATGTAACACAGTGGATGTGCACACACTACCCCACCACAGTGCACACGGTGCACTCCTACTGTGAACAAGGTGCACTCCTACTGTGAACACATGTGTGAATTAAACACACGGGTGCACATAACAGTAACACCGGGTGCACATAACAGTCACACCGGGTGCACGAAAAACAAATCAACGTACAAAACACGAACTAAACCCACCTCGCACGGTGTAGCATATAGGACATCTCCACATAGGGGCTCCTCCGAATCCCCAAGGACAACACCACAAACAGGACCACCAACATGGCAATCCAAAACATTGGTATTAGCACCAGTAACATCATGAGAAACACCCTAGGAAACACAAAATAAAACCATCCTCAATGGAACCCATCATGGAGACTAGGCACAGAATTGCAAAACAACTTCCAAGCAAACAAGTCAAACAGAACCATCAATGTAACCACATATCAAACCCCTCAATAATAAAAAAAAAAAACAAAAAAAACAAATCTGGACCACACAAACAACACATAGTGGGTGCACGGGGTACGAAGATTGACTTATAAAAAGCAAAGTAATCAACAAAACTGACCTCCACCTCAAACAAAGGCCGGCAGTTGTCAACTGGACTCATATCTCGCACCACATTCTCAATATCAGGCCACCCATGATCAGGGTAATCTTGTGAAATTCCAAGACTAAATGACGGCATATCGTTTAATTCAGAGCGTTGTTGAACGGCACGAACAATCTCGTCTACCACTTGCAAACGACCAGGAACAGACCAAAAATCATCATCAAGTTGGGAAAATATCGGCTCACCAGGCACCCCACCATCGCGAGTAGAAGAGGACGAAGGGGTCGGCCTCATCCCAACAAGAAACTTTACGGCCTCAAAGACCTCTAGAAGCACCTGTCCATTGAAAGCACCCTCCGGTCCTTGCTTCACCAACTGGTGCAGACACGGAACTGACCTCGACAAATCTCGGGCATTTTCCAAAACAACGTCTTCAAATGACTATTAACACCACAAAAGAGGCAGTATTAAATACCATAGAACAAAGAGTGAGAGCACACTAGGTACAATATGTGTGCACATCAAACAGCACAAACAGAAAAAACCAGCAGAAACAAAAAGAAATTTACCTTGGGACCATATTCAAGAAGGGGCGATGAACAATTATGTTCACCACCATCATCATTAGGCTCCGGCGCATTCCCACCAACATCCTCCTCCTGAGACACCCGTACCGGGGGCTCGATAACACCCAACCCAAACCCACCACCCCGAATCTCTGAGAACTCCCGTCGAAGGAGTAGTGGTGATGACCAACCAAGAAAAGCAGGAATACAACGAGGAACTTCCCTAGCAACATGCATAACCCGATCCACATATAATAACTGAAAAAAGAAACGGCATAAAATCATACTACAATTTCTTAGATAAAAACCAGAAAACTAAAACAAATAACCCACACATCGAGTAACAAATAACAGGTATACCGTAATGAACTTGGCAGGACCAATAAAAAACTTATGTCGACCATCACGCCAAGCAACCTGTGTCTCAACCAGCATGTCAACCACAAGCTTGCACCAATTCAAGTCGCGTACGGATGACAAATCCTCAAAGTGGTGAAAATACATCTGATTGGCATATCCATTACACATACAAGAAACTAATGTGGTCAAGACCAAAACCAGAAAATGGCGCTTAAACCAAAGGCCACCATTTACTTTTTCAACCATCAACGCACTAATCTCCGAAGCAGTGACCATGTGCCTACCCTTTTTAAAGAAACCCCTCCATTTTTTCAGTGTGTTGCTAATCTTGAGCCTATCCCGTCTAACCATATCAACAGGCCCGCGCGGAAAACCCAATACTAACTCCACATCCCCCTCATCCACCACCAACGTCCTTCCACCACCGAGATCAAACGCCCTTGCCTGGGGATCAAAATTATATAGCAACCACCGCAAAAGGCGCGGTGGAACCTCTGCAACATTAAAATCCAGCAAAGCCCCAAAGCCAAGATCCCGAATGTCATCCTTCTGAAGACTACTTAAATCCTTTAATGCATTTACCAAAATTACAGACTGCGCCCTCATCCTTGCCCGAGGATACATAGCATCCTCCTCCGCAGTGAGTTCATACTCGGGGGCATCCCACAGAGGTTCTTGTTGCAACCTAGAAAGGAATGCGCGAGGCGGCGACACAAAGTCACTATCCTCATCAGAAATCCCAGAAGGCCCAGCATCTGAATGGGTGGCCTTTGATTTCTTAGCTGCAGCCACAAAATAAAACAAAAATTACAAGTGCACTACATGATTTTTACAAAAAAATTTACACACCAAGTTTAAGAATGATGCTACAGTCTCGTTATAATTTCACTTTTTAATATTTGCCTCTTTATGCAATAATATATGACTGTTTTTATGATATTTGATTAATAACAATATTCATTTTTTTAGGGGGACAATTGATGGAGGAAATTTACACAGTATTACTGCCATATTATATGCAATGACCATCTCTTCCACAGTATTAGGGGGATAATCATCCTACACTCAAATAACCATCTCTTCCACAGTATTATATGCAATGATGTTTAAAGAACAGTAAATTCATACAAAATTATCAATCATCACACAACACATGAACACACAAAAGGGAAATGCATTATTGCAGATGGCACACTGTGTTTAGTATTAAAAAGAGAGCTTAGCCTGTAAATGTAGCATCCAAATCAAACACAACTTCTGGATTTAATTCAAAGTAGCTCCTTAACATGCTTCATATTTTTGGTGATTTACATCCATGGAGTAAACGAAACACACACAAACCAAACCAGCACTACCCGCCGCCCACCTCCCCCCCCCCCCCCCAACGCACCACGTACTGCCAGCGTACAGAAGAGAAAAAAAAAAAAAAAAAAAAAAAAAGAACAAAACTCACACAGAAAATGAAAGACCAGAGATTAGTGACAAAACACCCACAAACCCATCAACCTAAGCAATTCCACATCAAAAAAATGGAGAAACAAAACCCTAGACCTAGAAATTGAGCCCAAATTGGGCATCCTATAAACTCCCAAACACACGAAATGGACTACAATAGCAGCGCAAATGCATACCAAGAGGTAAAAAAACAAAAGCAAACCAACAACACACAACAACTACGACAAATAAACAACAAAAACGAACGGAGATTAGAAAATTACCTCTTCCGAGTTGGCGGTCTTGTGGTCACCGGCGTTTTCACCCACTGCGGTCCCCACCCGAAACCATTCCACAAGGAGAAGACGAAGGAGATTCGATGCGACGCGTTGCGAGAAGGAGACAGCGTCGGCAGCGCAGAAGAAGAAGAAGACAACGTGGGATACGGAGAACGTGTTTGTTTAGAATAGAACACCCAATAGCGCGTCAGATAGTGAAGGAGTAGGACTTCTCATGTGAACAAAAATACTAAAATACCCCAACTTACTAATAAAAACCAGTCAGGACTAATAAAAAAACCACATGACAAGGATTAAAGCAAATATAAATCTCATCCATCCGTTACACATATCTAATGATCAACATTAGTCCTCAAGTTTTTATTTTAAGCACTGTTTTTATTTGAATAGATTCCTATATATATATATATCCCATAATTGTGATACTAAAAATAACATTATTTTCATTTAAATTTTAATTCGTATTATGGATATTCCGTAAACTATATGGGATTTTATTAATTTGCCGAATTAATAGTTAAGGGAGGTAGGGCATGCCTACATGGCCACATTTAATAGAAAGAAAAAATTATACTGTAGACTATAATTCATATTGCAAGATGCATTACTATAAATATTTATTTTTAATGTACTAAAATTTATTTTTTAGATAGTATTAGAGATGTCAAACGGGTTGATTTGGCCGGCCATTGGCCCGTTTATTTTTGGATAGGGCATTAAAGTTTGACTCGGTCATAGTCCTAAAAATTAAAGAAATATATTAAAAATTATTTATCGACTCATTTAAGTTATGTTTTGTTTCTAAATTAGCTTTACATGTTTGCATATTTATTTTCAATTATTGAACTTAAAAATTATAACAAGAAAATGAAGAAATTAATAAAAAATAAAAATGTAATAACATTAATAAGATTAAGTTTACATATTGTAACTATTAACTACTATGTAGTAAAAGTAATTTTTTCAATTTGAAAAATAAAAATTTATAATTTTAAAATATTGTAAATTTCAATTTTGGTCAACTGACTATTGAACTTGTGTTAATTGCAACTCCTGACTTTCAAAAGTGTTAATTTAGTACCTTGACTATACAATTTTATCAATTTTGGTCACACCTGCCAAATGTGACCGGAAAATTTTAAGTCAACAATTAAACTTAAATAGAAGGGAAAAATTCGTCATTTCTTATTCACTCCTATTCGAGAACATGTGTTCCTGGCTACGTGTCAACTCCTCGTCTTGCATGCTCCGGTCCGAGTTTCTCCCCGGCCATTATAAGTGTTGTCAGTGCAAGAAGCAAAGGAATTTTGGAAGAATTAATTAAGCTGATAGCTATGGCGAACACATGAAGTCTACGGCGGCTAGTGCCGATAGCAGACAAGGAAGATGAACTCAGCGACGCGAAAGAAGCGAGGAACTTATCGAAGTGGATCTTGAAGCTCGTATCTCTGCAAGCGAAGACAGTCTCCGCCTGCTTATCCGCGCTCTCATCCAGGGCCGTTCCTAAGAAAATTGGGGTCCTGTACGAAAATTAACATTGGCCCCCTTTTTGTATAATTGTAAATATATAAAAGATATATTGTATTGTACCAAAATATATAATAGTCTATAAAAAATTTATTATTCAAAATTTCACTTGAAAAGTGACATTCTTCTTCTTCTTCGGTCATATTTAGATGTAAAATTATTCACCAATCCATTGAGTCTTTTTTACAATATAGTTGATCATAAGTAAGATTTCAACAATTTAACTTTAAAAAACTTCTTTATGCATAAACAACAGTAATGAAAATAGTCAAGACTAATTGATATTGAAATTGTAGTATCAAAATACAAGAAATTATATTGTTACTCACCAATCAAAAAAATTCCTAGCTAGAGTTAGTTATTAAATTTATAATTTTAAAATTTTGAATAAAATTAAAGAATTAAAATATTTAATTATTTACATACCTTCATCCTTTTATCGTGAAGAATAAAACAATTGAAGATGCCAAATGCACAAACAACGCACTTCAAATTAATGATTACTGAGACGGAATTCTTGCGTTGTGAATACAAATCTTGCGTGTATGCAATTATAATAGGAATAAGAGTAATTTTTTACTCTTTATATATAATAATTTTTACAGTAATCAAATAGGCCCGCCTCAATTTCTATAAGTTATAGGATTATAACTCTATACGTAAGTCAAGTTCTTAAGAATTAGGAATATAAACTTTTTAGAATTTTAGACCGTCTTGATTTCTTTATACATAAATTACACCTACACTAATATATAAAATATAAATATAAAATAATAATTTTTTTTTAATAAAAGTGCCCCCAATGCACATATATACTACGTATGTAATATTTGGGGCCTTGCGCTGGCCCTGGCCAGGGACGGCCCTGCTCTCATCCCCGTTTCTCTCGTGCCGCCTCTCCGGTTCCGAGCTGGACTCCTCTTACTCTGTAAGCCAGGCGCCTCCCATCACTGAGTCGAACCCTGGGCGAAGTATCAACAGATTGGTCGTCCACCACAAGCGCCACCGCCGCCGCATTGGGCTCTAATTTCTCAGTCAGAGAGGGCTCTGCCACCTGATCACCACAACCGAAGCAACTCATCATCAGAACAACAATGGTCTTGAAAACCATTCTTTGAAAACAAAACAGGCATCAAGATTCGAGTGAATGGTCTATGCAGAGTTCCACTTACCAATCACAAGCAATTCAAGGGATTCTTCTTGGGCGCGAAAATGATAGATTGGCATAAGAGGCAATAAGAAATGAACCAGAAATGACGAATTTGCCCATTCTATTTAAGTTTAATTGTTGATTTAAAATTTTTCAGTCACATTTGGCCAGTAATTTGACTAATGTGACCAAAATTGATAAAAATTACATAGTCAAGGTACTAAATTAACAATTTTGAAAATCAAGGGTTGCAATTAACACAAGTTAAATAATCAGTGCACCAAAATTGAAATTTACTCTTTTAAAATATTTTAAGGTGGTAATTACTATTTTTTTTAAATCACGTGGTAATTACTAATTAGTATAGTAGTTAGGTAGTTAGCTAGCTAAATAGTAAATACATAGCAATTTAATAGGCATAAAATCAGTTTCATGTAGAGTTTCTAATGAAATGGGGGTGTTTGGTTATCAGCTGATCAGCTATTTTTCAGTTGGTGGGTGTTTGGTTATCAGCTGATCAGTTATTTTTCAGCTGATTTGACCAATTTTGGCTGATTGACTTGGTCAATCAGCCAAAATTTGTGTTTGGTAGAAGAGCTGGTTGGGATAGCTGATAGGGTCAATAAGTTAATTTTTTAAACGCTGCTTGGAGCAGCGTTTATACATTAGCTGATTCCATTTCAGCTAAATGGCTGAAATTATCCCTGTTCTCTGTGAAACAAACCAATTTCATCTTCATCCCAAAACTCACATTTATTCACAAATTAAAAGTAAAGGCAAAAAACAATGGAAAATACTCATCTCCTCTTCTCCTCCTCCCCCTCACAACCTTCACAGGCAGCCATGGAACAAACCGCAAGAAAATCCACAAATTATAGGTAAATAAAAAATAATGGAAATGACTTGATAAGGTATATACCCCGGGTCCGTGCCATCGCTCGCAGTCGGGTCGGGGTCAAAGGCGACGGGTCAAACCCGAGATGGGTCAAACCCGCCGCCTCGGTGGGCCTTTAAAAGGGCCTGGAGCCCTTTGGGAAGGGGGAGGCCCATTTTCTCCCTTCCCCATCTCTCGGCTCTCTCTCTCCCTCTTCTCCCCTTTCTCTCAAAATGCAGAGACAAACAACAACAAACCAGTTTAATAAAAGAAGCCAATTTCACCTATTTCTTGTGTTGATTCTTTTTTATGCTTATACATACGCATATACATACATCTCTACGGTACGAATTAGTACTATCAAATGGCGCCGTCTGTGGGGACCGTGGCAAGAAGCTACGTTCCGGCATTCAAAGAAAAAGCAAGGGAGAGACTTTGGAAATGGAGGAGAGTTCGAACCTAGGTATTCAAGCTGTCAGGTTAATACCACAACCATTCTACCAATCTGCTTCTTGTTTCACTTTCACCGTTCTTGGTCTGTTGATGTATGAGATCAAGGCAAAAGCAGAGGAAAAAAATCGTTTGAAGGAAGTTCGGGAGTTAACTGGAAGCCGCCGCTGCATGCAGACTGATCCGGCAACTGCGACTGTTCTGTCCATTACATGCAATAGAGGCGCTACGCCATCGGATCTCATCTTCATCAGAAGGTTCCTCATCATTCTCTTCGACTCTTCGTTCCTCCCTCGGATCGGATCTGCTCCAACTTATGGAGATGATCTGTACCGGAAGTCGTAGCGTTCTCGAGTTCGCCACCTGAATGTAATTGCAGCCGCCGTTTCTGTCTTCGTGGCTATCCCCTCCGTCTCCGGCAAGCAATAGCAGATGAGGGCGATGCCCTTCACCGTCGGATTCCGCCATCATCATCACCGCCGAGGTCCGTTGCATCATCATCCTGGGAATCAAAAGGCATGCAATATTATAATATTCCTCTTTCATTTTCTTCTCTGATCTGCATCTGATACCCATTTTCACTATTGATTTCAACTCTTAATTTGCATGCATTGAAATGTTGAGTGATGGGCAAAAAGGCTGGGTCAAAGATAAGCCACCGTCATCATCCTGGTGTGTTCTTCCTATGATGATGAAGAAGCATATCTAAAGGGGGTGAGGGGTTGTTAGACGGTGAAAAATAAAAGAAATTAAAAGATTGATGTTGCATGCAAATTTCATTGGAAGATGTTGGCGGTGCAGTGGGAAGGCCAAGAAAGTGGCAAGAAAGAGAGTAAAAAAAAAAAAAAAAAAGGAAAAGTAAAAGAGAAAAAATGCATGTAAGCTAATGGTGGAAGTAGGTGGCTGGCACGCTGGTGTGAAACATTGGAGAGTGCAAGCCAAATTGCAAAAATTGTATAGGCCTAGTTACAAGTTGTACAAGTTACATGCTTGTACTCAGAAATTGTAATATTTATTTGTAATAAGTCTAAATTAGACTAGTCAGGCCCATGAATTTAAAATAGGCCGTAGCTTTTTTTTTATAGCAAGTTGTATAGGCCCAATTACAACTTGTATAGGTTATGGGCCTATACCTAGAAGATTGTAGTTAATTGTAATAGGTCCGGTTAGGTTGGTATTCCCACCACCGGCACTAAGAGCCCGGTCAGGTCGGCCTCGCCACCACCGGCATTGTTAAGCCCGGGAAGAGCCCCGGCACCAAGCCCTACCATGTAGGCAAATTTGGGTCTCCAGACCAATCGGACGACGCTCCAACGAAGATTGAAGACGGGCGCTTCGCCCCACACACCTCTCCCTCGGTTCCGACCGATAGCGGTGTCCGAAGATTGAAGACGGGCGCCTTGCCCAGCAGCCAAACCGGCTCTAATAGCCGTCACTCCTCTCCCTCGGTCCCCACCGATAGGGGTGTGCAATCGGGCTCTAATAGCCTCAGTTCTGCGGCTCTAATAGCCGACTGACCCTTGACCGGGCGAGGCAATCGACTGGTCATATCGCCGATCGGGGAGGTCGACACCACGGCATATTCCCCGATCCGCCCGCTCCTCTCCGGTACTGCACTCACTCGCGCCCCGAGCGCGCACAGTGGGGGCTAAATAGGAAGGGAGCGCCACAGGTCCCATGCTCGGGAACACCCCATGCAGCGGGCCCTCGTGAAGTGTTTAGGCCCACACTCGGGAATCCCCCGATCGAGGCGGCCAAACAGTGCCTGAAGAAGTATTCCAAGGCCCGGAGGCCGGGAATCACGGTTCGGGCCGGCACTCGGGAAACCCCCGATCGTGACGGCCAAGCAGCAGTTGAAGCAAGCCTAAGGCTAAGAAAGGTTCCAAGGCCCACGAGTCGGGAACTGCAGTTTGGGCCCAAGGTCGGGAATATCCCGTCCTAAACGGCCCACCCGAAAACCGAAGACCGCGCCCTGAGTTCGCCCGGCCGCTAGTTTCACTGTCACACGCCCTTATACTTAAGTACGTCCGACAGTGGGGGGCTGGGTAGGATAGGCCGGGTCGAATCGTCTGCTCGGATAACATACTCATATGTGGGTCGCCCGAGGCCATGCGCCTGGTCGGCATAGAGCGGCTGGTTCAACCCGTCTGCCCGGGTAAGGCGATGCTGGCATGGGGGTCGCCTGGAGGGTATTAGCCCGGTCGTCCAACGCGCTTTCCCACCTCGAGCAGGTCGGCACTGCCACCTCCGACGAGAAGGGGAAGTGAGCCACGCGCCTTGTTTGACCGAGTAGGTTGGCACCGCTGCCTCCGGTATTTCTAAAGACCAGTTAGGTTGGCCACGCCACCACTGGCACTCTATGACCGGTTAGGTTGGCATTGCCACCACCGGGTCTATGAGTCCGGTTATACCGGTTGATACCGCTTCTTAGCGATGCCGCTTTTCAGCGATGTATTCCGCTTCTTAGCGATGCCGCTTTTCAGCGATGTATTCCGCTTCTTAGCGATGCCGCGTTTTAGCGATGTTTCCGCTTTTAGGCGATGCCGAGCGATGTGCTTGTTCCGCCTCTTAGCGATGCCGCATTTTAGCGATGTTTCCGCATTTAGGCGATGCCGAGCGATGTGCTTGTTCCGCCTCTTAGCGATGCCGTGTTTTAGCGATGTTTCCGCATTTAGGCGATGCCGAGCGATGTGCTTGTTCCGCCTCTTAGCGATGCCGCGTTTTAGCGATGATATTTCCGCTTTTAGGCGATGCCGAGCGATGTGCTTGTCCGCCTCTTAGCGATGCCGCGTTTTAGCGATGATATTTCCGCTTTTAGGCGATGCCGAGCGATGTGCTTGTCCGCCTCTTAGCGATGCCGCGTTTTAGCGATGTTGTTTCCGCTTTTAGGCGATGCCGCGCAATGTGCTTGTTCCGCCTCTTAGCGATGCCGCGTTTTAGCGATGTTGTTTCCGCTTTTAGGCGATGTCGTGCGATGTGTTTACCGCCTCTTGGTGTGATGCTTTACCGCTTTTTTTTGTGTGATGCTTTACCGCTTTTTTTTAGCAACGTGTGTGTACCGCTCGTTAGCGGTGTTGTGCCCGATCGTCGGCGCGGTAGTTATAGCCGGGTGCACTCACATTGCGGACCCGGTCGAGGCACTTCCCGACCGCGATGTCGTTTCCCGGACGGTAACCCGTCGTGTCCACTCTTTTGTGTTGACGATCCTCACACCCGCGGGAGTGGGGGCTGCACTGGCCCGAGCAGCTCGTCTGCGTTTTTGTTTGCCCGAGTAGAGCGTTCGTCGGTCGAAACGGTCGAATCACGTTCGCTTCGCCCCGTAACGTTTCGCCTGAATGAATCCGGTCTCTCGGTCACAAGCGGATCCAACCCCATAGTTGGTTCGCAGATCTCCAGATCGCAGTCGAATCGACAACCCAGTCGTGCCCGGCAATCCAGTCGCGAACCGGCTGGGCTCGGCCTTTCGCAAGTTGCATTGCGAGCTCGACCACTGGGTCGGGCGCTCCCTTTCGGTCCACCGGACTATGTCTGAGCGTTGCACTCTTTTTTCCTTTGGCTAAAGTTTTTTCCCGCTGGGTTTTTTGTTAGCCTAAGGTTTTTAATGAGGCAACCGGCATATGTCACGGACCGTGTGACTCGTTTTTCCAGCCCGAACCCTTCCTCGATGCTCGTCGTCAGGGCACGGGCTGTGGGGGCTTTTGATAAGGTATATACCCCGGGTCCGTGCCATCGCTCACAGTCGGGTCGGGGTCAAAGGCGACGGGTCAAACCCGAGATGGGTCAAACCCGCCGCCTCGGTGGGCCTTTAAAAGGGCCTGGAGCCCTTTGGGAAGGGGGAGGCCCATTTTCTCCCTTCCCCATCTCTCGGCTCTCTCTCTCCCTCTTCTCCCCTTTCTCTCAAAATGCAGAGACAAACAACAACAAACCAGTTTAATAAAAGAAGCCAATTTCACCTATTTCTTGTGTTGATTCTTTTTTATGCTTATACATACGCATATACATACATCTCTACGGTACGAATTAGTACTATCATGACTATTAACCCATACAGAAGTCATCTTTATCTTCAAAACTCAGAATACAAAACAAACAAACAAACTATATTTTTTAATTCACAAAAAACAAATTAAAAAAAAAAAAAAAAAAAAAAAAAAAAAAAAAAAAAAAAAAAAAAAACCTAACCAACAACGACATCAACAATGAAAACGGCTAATTGAGTCATCTTCATCTTCACTGTCATCTGACTCGTGCAATTTTTTTTGCCCATCGCTTCTCACCCTTTACAGGGTGTTTGGTTGGAGGGATTTTAAATTCCATTCCCACTTAATTCCCACCTAATTCCAAAGACCATTAAATTCCGTAGTTTGGTTGGAGGTAATTGCAATTCCATGGAATTGCAATTCCCCCATTTTCATGGAATTAAAATCTCATGTCCCCCCTGGTATTTTAATTCCTGGGAAAAAAAGATAGTGATGAGTCAAAATTACCCTTTCCCTTTTTAACCTAAAATTAATGTCTAACAACAATAATGGACATTTTTTACTTTATACTACTTATTCCCTTTCAATTCCCATGTATAACATTGGAATTGAAATTCCCAGTAATTCTATTCCTGTCAACCAAACACTGGAATTTAAATTCCCACTTTATTCCCAGTAATTCAACTCCCATGGAATTACAATTCCTTTCCCACATAATTCCCCCCTCCAACCAAACGCCCTGTTAATTCTGGCCTCTTTCTTCTACGCTGCTCCTCTGATCTGCGCAATTCTTCGCGTCTAATTTAGGGTAAACAAAAAATGGGTGGGATTTGGTTTATAAATGTGCTGTTGGTTTGTGACTTTGGGTCAAATGGTCAATAATAATAACAATAATAACAATAATAATAATAATAATAATAATAACCAGGACTATGTGGTCTAATGGTACCCGGGTTAGACTTTCATTTGGAAGATTATGATTTATGAGTTCGAGTCTTAGTGGAGGCGTGAAATAACTTTCAAAAAAAATAATAATAAGAAAAAATGGTACTTTTTACCCCTGAGTTATATACTTATAGTACTTTTCCACCCTCAATTATTTAGTTAAGCACATTAGCCCCCTCAATTATTCTAAAAGTGGTGTTTTTTCTCCATGATATATTAAATTGACATTTATACCCTTAAAGTAAACATTTTATTTATTTTACTACTCCAACAAATTATTGCGTATACGTAGGGATAACCACAGTTCAATTTGAATTGAACCGGATACTAAAGCAATCGAATTAATAGTTCCCGGTTATAATTCAGATCTAGAATCCAATATTTAAATGTCAATTTATTAAAATTATGTATCAAAAAATTGAATCTTGAATCGTGAACCGACGGTTCCGGATCCGATTCGCGATTTTGAACCGTTTTTATTTTAAAATTTTATTTTTTATTTTAAAATAGTCTAAATTCAACAATAAATGTATTTTATTTTTTCAGTTCAAAACATGAACCGTCCGTTCCGGTTCACGATTTTAATAAACTCTAAATATCGAATTTCGATTCTAAATTGTAACTGGAATATTTCGGTTTGGTTGCTATAGTGTTTGTTTGGTTTGAACCAAATTATGGTCATAATTTGTTGGAGAAAAAAATAAATTAAATATTTAGTTTAAGGGTAAATATGTCCATTTAACATTTCAGGGGGAAAAACAGCCACTTCAATAATTTAGGGGGAAAAAATGCTATAGGTATATAACTCAGGGAGAAAAAGTGTCATTTTCCCTAATAATAATAATAATAATAATAATAATAATAATAATAATAATAATCCTTTATATAATAAAGCTATATGGTTTGGGAAATAATTAATGTTACAATTAATGCCACAACATCCTTTATTAAAAAAAAAAAAAAAAAAAAAAAAAAAAAAAAAAAACAACATTTAAAAAATAAAATAGCTATATATTATATAATCATATAAAAAATATACTTTTGAAAAATAAAATAGCTATATATTATATAATCATATAAAAAAATGTGTTCAATTAGAGTTTAAATTTACACATACAAAATTTGTAATTTACTTTCCAAATGTAATTATCTTAGTTATTATTTGTATTGTGAAAATTATAACATAGATGAAATACAATTAAGAATAAATCAATGTAATTATGTAAATTATCTCATAAGTTTATTTGAATATGCACATAATTATAGATTATATTAACCATACAAAATTATAATTATAATTATAATTTTAATTATAATTTTGTATTCTATAAAAATAATAAATACTTGACCAATGGAAGCTCAAAAATATTATTATATTAAATAATTTAAAATATTTTAGTTTTTCTATTTTTTATTTATATTTATAATAACATAATTTTTTCCGTGCATCGCGCGGTGAATTACTAGTAATAATAATGATGATGATGAAGATGTACGGTTGGCAGGTTTCAACTTTTAATAATAATAATAATAATAATAATAATAATAATAATAATAGTAATAATAATAATAATAATAATAATAATAATAATAATAATAATAATAATAATAATAATTTGTAGATGTAATTAAAGAATTATAAAATTAACACAATGCCCTTATAGGTCATTTTACATACAATCAGCTAAAAGTAAACAGCTAATTTACCAAACACTTTTTTATAACCAGCTAATACAATTAGCTGGTCAAACCAGTTAACACAATCAGCTATTACCTATCAGTTATTTCAATCAGCTATCAACTGATTGCCAAACACCCCCAATAATCTCATGAGTCAATACTCCTTTATAATATATATGTATATTATATTTTTGTAAAAATGTGTCCGGGTCAGCCCAGATAATGGGCCAAAAACTAAAGTACAACCCTGTTCGTAGTATAAAACAGGCTAATCATACGAGCATTATTGAGTGGACCATGGTCTACACTCAACACAAGTTATGTGCACCATATTTTGTCTGTTGTAAAATAATGTACATTCAATACAAAAATAATGTACATTCAGTACAAAAATAATGTACATTGTATTCAGGGGATGTATATTATTTTTGTTCTGAGTGTACATTATATTGTATAATGTACATTCAGTACAAAAATAATGTACATTTACTATATTAAAAATATACTTTTTGTTATGGTTCACATAACATTGTGTGGACTATGGTCCACACAATAATTTGCCATTCACTATACTGTAGATCATATTTTATATTGCAAGATGGGTTATTGACATATAAATTCATTTTTAATTTAGTACATTGTTTATTGGAAAAATGATACTTTTTCCTTTGAATTATAGATTTATAATACTGTCAAGCAACTTGTGTTCATATGACATGTAGTGACCTCTCCTATGTGGGAGATAATGAGATCGAGTCAAAAAAATAGACTTATAATACTTTTTTTTCCTAAATTATTTATTTATCAACATTTGCCCCCTCAATTATTTTAAAAGTGACATTTTCCCCCCATTTGATGTTAAATGTATATTTTTACCCTTAAATAATTATTTCATTTATTTTTCCTTTCTAACAAATTATTACTTGTATGTAGGAATGACCATCGTTTGATTTGAATCGAACCGGACACTATAACAACTGAACTGAAACAGTATGGATGGTTCTTGTTACGATTCAGAACTGAAAAATATATATATATAATTGTTGAATTTAGACTATTTTAAAATAGAAAATAGAATTTACAAAAACAAACAAATAAATTTTTTAAATTGGAATAAAAATAAATGCGAACCGGAACCGAACAAATTTATCATTTACAAACGGTGTTTACAAATCTGTTCGATTCTGATTGGCATTTATTCCTATTCCAGTTTCGCTTTGAACTGGTGGTTCAAAATTTATTTATTTATTTATTTTTGCAAATTCTATATTTTCTATTTCTAAAATACTCTAAATTCAACAATTATTTTATTTTATTTTTCAGTTCTAAATCGTAACAAGAACAATCTTTAGATTCCCTACTATTTTAGTTTGGTTGCTATAGTGTCTGGTTCAGTTCAAATCGAACCGTAGTCATCCCTACATATAAGCAATAATTTGTTGGAGAAGAAAAATAAATAAAATAATTAGTTTAAGGGTAAAAATGTCCATTTAACATCAAGGGGAAAAAACGGTCACTTTTAAAATAATTGAAACAACAAATGTGGATACATGAATAACTCAGAGGAAAAAGTGCTATAAACCTATAATTCAGGGCGAAAAAGTATCACTTTTCCTTGTTTATTTTTTTAAAGCTTCATTTTTAATGTATTTTATGGTTATTTTTAGTATACTACGCCTATAGATATCAAACGGACAGGCTAGCCCTAAGACTAATTCAGGCCCGACCCTTTGGATCGGATCGGCCAGGTCCATTTGCTACAATAGGTGAACTATGATTAGGGCAAATTATGGTCCACACAATGTTATGTGGACCATAACAAAAAGTACATTTTTAATATAGTAAATGTACATTATTTTTGTACTGAATGTACATTATACAATATAATGTACACTCAGAACAAAAATAATGTACATCCCATGAATACAATGTACAGTATTTCTGTACTGAATGTACATTATTTTTGTATTAAATGTACATTATTTTAAAGTAGACAAAATATGCTACACACAACTTGTGTGGACCATGGTCCACACAATAATGATCGATAATGAATATAGAGGCAAATTATTGTATGGACCATGATCCACACAACTTGTGTGGACCATAAATATAGGGTACATTTTTAATATACTAAAAGTACATTATTTGTGTACTGAATGTACATTATTTGATAATATATATAAAATAATATACTTTTAATACTAAAATAATGTATTCTCAAATAATGTACTTTTAGTATACAAATAATATACCTTTAGTATATTAAAAATGTATTTTTTATTTATGATCCATGCAATAATGATGGGATATAGAGGATATAGGGGTTTTTTGGGCCAAACAAAGCCCATGTAGTTTAAAGACCAAATGAGACGTTTTACGAATTTCCATGAGCAAAGTGCCAAAGTGAGATTCATTACTAAATACTTGAATAGTTTTTCAACTTCACGAAATCCAAACTTGCATGATTGAGCATTGTGAAAAGATATATATGTCCCTATGTGACTATGTCAAGCCAATCCTCACTATTTTCTATATATGTTTGTACATGTATATATAAATACTCCGCATACATATACAATTATGTAATACTTACTTACCTTTAGAAGGCGTTCAAGGGTAACTGAATCCTTTTTTACATTACAATGCGTCAATAGTTTTATACATAATTTTTTAACCTAGTAAAGTACAAAGAGTCAATATTCCCATTAAAATTTAAATTTTTAACTTTTCATTTAGGAGAGTCAAGTTATATTATGCCGCTTGACTACAAGATCTTTGACACGTAATAAGTGGTTGATAGTGAGAGTTCTAAGAAATTTAAGAGTAGATAGTTGTAAGAATGTGGGTAGTGAGGACTTTATTCTTGCTTGAGTATGGAATCATCTTTAGAAAGAGTTAAGTCGTCTTTCCACTCTTTCATCAATCATAATAAGCTAAGGGTCATCCTTAATTAGAAAAAGAGAAAAGATCAAACTCGTCCTAATCATTCATCCCAAAAGGTTGAATTTCTAACGGCAAATTATGCTATGGACACGCTGTACATTCATAATTTTTATACTGTAGATTCATAATTTCTACACTGTAGATTCATAATTTCTAAACTGTAGATCCATAATTTTTATATTGTAGATTTATAAAATCTATATTGTAGATTCATAATTTTTGTACTGTATGAATCTACATTATAAATTTTATGAATCTACAGTATAGAAATTATGAATGTACAGTACAGAAATTATGGATGTGCAGTATATAAATTATGAATCTACATTATAAATTTTATGAATCTACAATATACAAATTATGAATCTACAGTATAAAAATTATGAATCTACAGTGTGTCCACCATGCACATGGTGGACACGGGTCCACAGCATAACACTCCATCCCCAACCCGAAGGGCTCCCCACACCCCGACCCGACAGAGTATCTGGGAGGATGTAAATCATGGTAACTCAACTGAACCATAGAGGCTAGACCTTTGCTTATTGTGCACAAGGAGCGCCCTCACTTTGAGAGGTTGCTCACACACTTCCGCTGGTGAGACTCGATCCCTGGTCATTCTTCTTAATCATTCATACTATCCTAAGTAGTTATACTTACAATCGATCAATTGACTAGACGAATACAATAATTATTAGATTATAACAAAGTCATTAGTACTCAAAAAAGAGGAATACACTAATGGTCTTTTTGGTTCACATAAAAAAATTTCAGGGAGAATTTTTACCTCAAATTTGAGGGAAAAAATAAAGATTTTACTTAGGTTAGTTGGTGGAGAATTTATTCCAATAAAAAAATGAAGGGAAAAGGTACAAATAGGCCATTGAACTATTTGGGGGTTAGCAATTAAGTCACTGAACTCGAATAAGCTCCAAATTGATCTATGAATCTGTAAAAAAAATACAATTAACATTTTTAACAAGTTAACAACAAGTTACTGCTGACTAGGATGCCATGTGTAATTTTTATTTTTTATTTTATTATTTTTATTATCCTAATCAGCATTTGAAAAAAAAAAAAAAAAAACCTAAGCATTTGACCCTCTTGACCAAGACTACTGTCAAAATAAACCATACTTCTTCTCTTCTCTTCTTCGTTGCTTTGTCGCGAACATCGAATCCTCTTCTCTTCTTCGTTGCTTCGAATCGGCTCCGATCTCTCCTCTTCTCTTCTTCATTGCTTTGTCGCGAACATCAAATCCTCTTCTCTTCTTCGTTGCTTCGAATCGGCTCCGATCTCTCCTCTTCTCTTCTTCGTTGCTTTGTCGCGAATATCGAATCGGCTCCAATCTCTCTGGCTCAGCTTTACTTTTCTCCGGAAAACTCTACAATAAATTGGTAATTTCTTCTCTATTTTGCTGTTTTTCTATCTTTTGCTGTTGTTTGCATTATTTTTGAACACTTACAAGTGAGTAACCAACTCATTTTTATCTTTCACTGCTTTTGGGAACAATTACAGGTATTGTTGTTACACATTTATATTCTTGTCCTTTTGGGTTCAGGCATCAAAGTAGAAGAACGGTCTGTTCAGGAAAGCGATAACCCTCCAGGTCTTCTCTTTTTTTCTATGTAATTTTGTGTGTTGGGAAGTTTTCATGTTTTTTTTTTTTTTTGAATTTTGAATTTTTCTTCTAATTCATTTTGGTTTTGAATTTTGTATATGAAATAAAGATGATGAGGTTTGGCTTTGTGTAATAGTTTTAGTGAAAATAAAGAATTCTTGTACTGTAATTGAACTTGGGATCTTTGGGGGATGATGAGCTGCAGTATAGCATGGAAGCTTTATCTATCTTTTGCAGGTAGATTCTATGGTTCTGATAAAAACATACTACATGTTAATGTTATTTAATTTCTTGTTATGCTTATTAGCAGTGAAAAATATGACATGTTTACAAGATTGTGTCTGTGTTGTTGTTTTGTGTCTAGAGAAATGCAAGTTCTGGTATTCATGAAACTGAGGGCCTGGTTTTGCTTTTGTTTTGTGTAACAGCTGACACAGTTTTATTTGGAGTGGAAAGTTGAGATTTTGAATCTCATGTTTTTATGATAAATTGGATGCTGGTGCAGGTGTTCTTATTGCATTTGATAAAGTCAATTTTGTTAAAATATTTGTTTCACGAATTTTGTTAGTCATTAATTTCACCCCTAAAATTATAATGAGCAGTTATAATGCATTCCATTCTGGGCAGTTTGGAACACTTTGCTTTTATGGTCTAAAATATTTCATTTTGGGCAGTTTCGTTCTAAGCAGTTATAATGCATTTCCTTTACTTTGATGCATAATCCCTGCAATTTTATGTATTCCATTTTACAATTTTCAGAATGTATGACATAGTAGATTTGAGAATTCATTATGGGGGTAGTTTTGTGCAAGATCCAAGACTACGATATATAAATGGAGAAGTTGATGAAGTAACAACTGACCCCGATCTTATTTGTGTACCTCACTTGATGAAGTTGATAGCACATGAGAGATATGGTAAGGTCGAAAGTCTATCTTACAAGTTAAGTCTAAAGGCGATGGAGAAGCTTAGGCCATTCTTTAATGACACCCACACGATGGAGTTGATGACGCTAGCACGTAGATATAAGAAGGTGGACATATATGTTGAGCATGGTGTACGTTGAAGAAGAAAATGAAGGTAATCCGAGTGTTGATCTTGAAGAAAGAAATGAAGGTAATGAGGATGATGGTGAAGAGAATAATGATTATGAACATGATGAATGTAATAAGGATGATGAAGAAGCAGAAAAAAAAAAGAAAAAGAAATCATGGTGCATAAATGAAATCAGGAGCAACACATGCACCAAGTAGAAAAAAGAAATATAAAGTTCAAGAAAACACTATTGAGGATGATGAAGTAGTTAGTGTTTATTATGAGTCAGATAATCCACCTAGTTACCAATCTGAGATGGAAGATGATGAAGCTCAACTACAACTTGAACAATCAAGTAAAGCCAAGGTCAAATGTAAATTTCCATCTTACAATCCAAGTGTTGAATTTCCCGAGTTAGAGTTGGGCATGTTTTATGAAGATGCATAAGAGTTTAAGAAAGCAATGATTAATTATGCAGCGCACTTTAAGAGGGACATAAGCTATTATAAAAATGAGAGTATGAGAGTGATGTTTAAATGTGCTGGCATTGAGAGTATTGATGGTAAAGGCTACCCATTTCATTGCACTGCTTCATGGGAGGAGAAATACAAGTGCTTTCAATTAAAGACTCTTGAGGCCGACAATAATTGCAATCAAAAGTTCAGCTTGCGTTTGGTGAGTCAAAACTGGATAGAAGATAAATATGAAGAAAAAATTAGAGATAATCCTTGCATTGGACCTATAGAGTTGAAAAACCACATTGAGTCAGAATTGAAAATAAATTTAAGTATTAGCAAAGTGAGAAGAGCAATTAGGTCTGTGCTCAAAAAAATTAATGCAAGCTTTGAGGATCAGTTTAGGAGAATAAGGGACTATGCACAAGAGTGTATGAACTCTAACCCAGGAAGCAAAGTAATACTAAAAACCAGTAGGGTCACACCTGACAGTCCTTGTGTGTTCCAAAGAATTTATGTATGTTTTGATGCATTGAGAATGGGTTTCTTAGATGGATGTAGAAAGATTATTGGATTGGATGGGTGTTTTCTCAAAGGGTTGCTAAAGGGAGAAATATTAACTGCAGTAGGAAGAGATGCAAACAATCAGATGTACCCTATTGCATGGGCTGTGGTGGAGATTGAGAACACAGATTCATGGGGATGGTTTTTAGAGTTGCTGAAAAATGATTTGGGAATCACCAACACTTACCCTTGGACAATAATCAGTGACCAGCAGAAGGTATGCACTCTTAAATGTATTTAGTGATGTTATTTGCTTAAATGTATTAGTAGTTCTTTCTTGCTATTTACGGTGTGAAAGAGGCTATCTTGCTCTTGTTTTCTGAATCTTAATTTTATTTTATCATGTTCTTATTTTATGTTGCTCTTATTGCAGTCTTAATTAGTAGTATCTTATTTACATTGACTAGCTTGTTTTAATTACAATCACTAGTAGTATCTACATTACAGTGACCAATGTATATTTGCTTCATATACAGTGACTAGTGTCTTTCTTACTGCATCATTATCTATATAATTTTAATTTTAGGGATTAACAACTGTTACCCAAGAGCTATTTCTGGATTCAGAGCACCGAAATTGTGCAAGGCATGTGCATGCAAATTGGAGTAAGCGCCACAAAGGAAAGGTTATGAAGAATCACTTTTGGATGTGCGCCAAGTCAACAACAGAAGTTCAATTTCATGAACAACTAAAAACCTTAGAAATGAGAGACAAAGAGGCTAAAGCTGACCTAGAACGGTATCCACCTAAGTTTTGGTGCAAGGCTTTTTTTAGAACAACAAGTAAATGTGACATTGTTGATAACAATATATGCGAAGCATTCAATGGGACTTTGCTTAAAGCAAGATGCAAGCCAATAATTCCCATGCTTGAAGACATTCGAGTGCTTGCTATGAGAAGGATAGCCAAAAAAAATGAAGTTCGTAGACACTTGGAAAGGTAGATATGGACCACTTATTATGAAGAAACTAATTGCAAATAAGAAAAAAAGCATTGGATGGAAGGTACATTGTTTATACAATTTTTTAAAAATAATATAACATTACATTTGTTGGGGTTTAAATTTGAGTGGTAAATTTTGTTGCTCTGTTGATTTTAATGGTGATGATGGATATGAGATTAAGAAAGGACGAAACCATTTCAAAGTCAGGCTTGAAAATAAGACATGTTCGTGTAGATCATGGGATTTGACAGGTCTACCTTGCCCTCATGCTATATGTGACATCTTCGACAATGGCAGGAATATGGAGGATTATCTTGATCCATGCTACTTAAAATAAGCATATCAAAGGACTTATACACGTGCTCTTCTACCGATGAATGGAGAACTCTTCTGGCCTAAAACAAATTGTGAGGAAATTTTAGCTCCAATCCCAAAAAAAGACAGGTAGGCCAAAGAAGAAAGAAATCGTGAGGAAAATGAAGGTTCATCAACTGCTAGTAAGAAGACTTAACTAAGTAGGAAGGGTCGCATAATGAGATGTTCCATTTGTCGACAAGAAGGGCATACTAGAGCAAAGTGTGATTCTGTTGGAGGTGTTTTGGGTTAATATTTTGGCAGAAGAGTTGTTTTGGGTTAATGTTTTGGCAGTACTAGATTAACAATATATTTATGCTTATCAAATGTTGTAGTGTTGCAATTAACAATGTATTTTTGTATGGCAATGCAAACTATATTAACAATATATTAATTTCTGCTTAGCAATGCAAATTTTGTATTATATTATGCGTGTAATAATTTCTTAAATATTGAAATTTCAATGTATTTTTTCTAATTCAAAAATGCCGCAAACAATCGCAAAAGAGAGAAAATAAAAAATGTCGCAAACAACCGCGAAAGAGATAAAGCGCAAAATAGAGAAGCTATAGTTGAGGGTCAAATGCTGATTAGGATAATAAAAATAATAAAATAAAAAATAAAAATTACACATGGCATCCTAGTCAGCAGTAACTTGTTCTTAACCTATTAAAAATGTTAATTGCACTTTTTTTGCAGGTTCATGAATCAATTTGGAGCTTATTCGAGTTCGATGACTTAATTGCTAACCCCCAAATAGTTCAATGGCCTATTTGTACCTTTTTCCCAAAAATGAATTCATCAAATTTGAGGGAAATGAATTTCTTGCTCTCATTTAGTATTTTATTTTCTACAATTTTTGAGAAAAAAAAGTTACAAACATAAATTCTTATATTACTCTCACATATCCTTATTATGCGATGACATTTGAGTTTTATACTAACAATTCTCAACAACCAAACAATAGGAGTTTTTTGCACTTTTGGTCCCACGGCTATAGTGACACTATCAGGATTGATCCGCGACTTTCAAACCTTACAATTTCAGTCGACGACTATAATCACGGATCAAATCTGATAATGCCACTATAGTCGTGGGATCAAAAGTGTAAAAAACTCCAAACAATAGAATCAATATTTCAAGTAATTTCTTTTTCATGAAATTTAAATTTTATTCATTTAATTAATATATTTTTTTCACGAATCAAATGGACCGTAATATTCACAAGTTTTGGTTGCTTTAAATTGCAATCTTTATCATCAAAACACTATAGCTATAGATAGTAGCAATATAGGGCAACCATTAACTAAGTTAGTTGGACAATTGATTTGACAGCTATAAGATTTCAAATTTGACTTTTTATGAAATTTATCTATTAACATTCTTAATTTAAACCGACTAATTATGAACAACTTAAGTTAATTTATCTTCAATTAACAATAGACAACTTATATTGATTTACCTCATTGTACTTCTTCGTTAACTAGATCATAAAACATGCTTTACCTAAAGCGCAATCCATATTCTGTTAACAGCGACAAACTTTCTGGAAATCAAAGTCGCGGGAACCAAGAATTCCAGCCAAAATTGGTTCAATCATGATACCTGTAATAATATTTCCATAAAATTGAAAAAATGTTATAACTGCACATGTAACATCAATAATTGGATGAGTAGATGGACCCACCACCATGTGAACAAATATATGTAACTTTCAAGCGTGGATATATGCAACGTGGTGCCAGCGCAATAGCAATAATAATATAAATGCAAGAATTGACCCCTCCACGCCCTTAGGGCCCCTCTTGGATTTTTCATGATTTTGCGTGGTCCTTTATTCTTCAAAATTTACATGATTAAAATCTGCAAGAAATAAAAAATCAAAATCCAAATAGAGAAACTAAGCTGCAATTTTTAAATTATTATTTTAAATGTAATTTTAAAATCTATTGGCTTAATGATTAAATATCTTTGACAATTACATAACTTAAAATCTCTGACCTCTAATGAACAGAAGAGATTTATGTCAATTTGCATAAAGACATTCATAATTTCCAGGTGACTTAATGACTTAATGTAAAAGTGCAAATTTGCAACTAAATCCATCGATAATAGTATTATGGAGTACTTTTAAAATTGATATCTAGTTTTGAAGATTTTATCATACTCCAAAAGTGAATGTTTTTGAAGTATATTTTGCTTATCTATAAATTATACTTTAATTTGGAGTAGTATTTTTCCTATTTACTTTGTACTATTTTTTTTTTTTAAAACACTACTGATATTAGTAAAATGACAATTTTGGTTCATATATTTAATTCCTATCAATTTTCATCCACGATTATTATTTTAGTGCCAAAATTTATTACACCAGTCACCCATCCGTTTAAGACATGCCAGAATATGATATTAGGGATATTTTTGTCATATTATACTTAAAATCCCAATTTAAGCATGAATAAAAGGGATTTAAACTCTAAAAGATTTCAATTCGTCGTTCTTCTCCTCATCTTTTTTATCCTTCTTATTAATTTAAGAAGGATAAAGAGGAGAACGGTAAATTAGGATCTTAGCGGTTAAAACCCTTTATTTATGTTCGAATTTGGTTCTTAATTATGAAATGACAAAAATACGCTTTTAATTTTAGATTCCGGCATGTCAAAAATGGGAGAGTGATCGTCGTGATGAATTTTAGTACTAAAATAATATTATCGTTGATAAAAATTAGTAAGAATTAAATATGTAGACTAAAACTACCATTTTATTAATACTCTTTGGATCGAATTTGATATTTGCTCTATGTATTCTCATTATTGTAATATTATAAGATTAATCTAACTTCAATCGAGCCCAGCTCGCAAAAAATTACACTTGTTTTCGATTAATAAGGAAAACAAAAGGATAGGTCATATACTCATATGCCTTGTGAAAAACAGACAGCGAAGCAATCTGGCCGGAAAGGACAAGTCTTCTTTTGTGAATATCTAAAACTTTGTGGCTGTCTTTTTGGGGTCCAAAAGGGCATATCCAAACCCAAAAAAGGATAATCACATCCAAATTAAAAATAGCTTTTTTATTATTATTATTATTATTATTATTATTATTATTATTATTATTATTATTATTATTATTATTATTATTATTATTATTATTATATTTTAAGAGAAAAGACAATATTATGAGAATATACAGGTATAAAAGAGTTTATTGTATGCATAAATAATTATCAATCAATGATCTAAATTAAACTAATCGATGGTTTCTCTAATATTCTCTCTCTAAACGACTGCTCGACGATTTTTCTGAGTGGAGTACAACGGTTACCCAGCTGGTTGGTGGGGGTGGGGGACGGTGGAGGGAGTGGCGGGGTGGTGGGAGTGCATGTATCCATGGTATTTATACCGCTAGTTTTTTTCTCGTCCTTGTGGCGAGTGTGTGTGTACTTATTGTTGATTGTTCTGCTATTGATCAATATGGCTAACATGGCGTCGACTTCGTGATCATTGGAGGAAGTGTGCGCAGCGCTAACGCTGGAAGAGGAGGAAGTGGGGGGGATCGAGCTGGGATCGGAGGATATGGTAGAGAGCTTGGAGTGTTTCAAGTTTGCGGCGGTAGGGCGCCTGCTCACGGAGCGCCCAACGAAATTTTCGATCATTCGAGATACCCTTGCGGGGGTATGGCGACCAGGTAGGGGTGTCTCCATAAAAGAGATCCGCCCAAACTTGATGTTGTTCCAGTTTTACCATGAATTCGATTTAGAGCGAGTGCTGGAGGATGGACCATGGGCGTTTGAGCAGAATCTGCTATTTATCAAGCGAGTGGAAGAGAACCAGTCTCTGCTTGAGGTGGAGCTGAATGTGGCTGACTTTTGGGTGCAAGTCCATAATCTCCCTCTGGGATTCATGAGCGCTAAGGTTGCCGAGGCGGTGGGCAACCACATCGGCCGTTTTGTGAGAGCTGATCAGCGTAACTTTGTTGGTTCGTGGAAGACGTTTATACAAGTCCGGGTGGAGGTGAAGGTCGGGCAACCCTTGAAGAGGAAGATGAAGATGAAAAAGCCGGGTGTCGACTGGCACTGGGTA